CTTCTCTGGAGCTGTGGGTTATAGTCTGGTTACCATTTGTCTTACATCTAATATCCACTTATGAGTGAGTACATACCATGTTTGTCCTTCTGAGTCTGGGTTACCTCACTCAGGATGATATTTTCTAGTTCCATCCATTTGCCTTCAATTTTCATGATGTCATTGTTTTTCTCTGCTGAGTAATACTCCATTGTGTAAATGTACCACATTTTCTTTATCCATTCTTTGGTTGAGGGACATCTAGGTTGTTTCCAGGTTCTTGCTATTACGAATAGTGCTGCTATGAACATAGTTGAGCAAGTGTCCTTGTGGTATGATTGAGCATCCCTTGGGTATATGCCCAAGAGTGGTATAGCTGGGTCTTGAGGTAGATTGATTCCCAATTTTCTGAGAAACCACCATACTGATTTCCAAAGTGGTGTCAATTTATATTCTTTATTTTTATCATTGATTATAGCAAACCTAAATCCATTTTGATCATATATAAGGTTGAAGCAATTATCAAAATTGTGTTAGAACTAGACTATTGGGCAAACATATTTGTGACATATAACTAACAAAGGTTTAGAATCCAGAATATATAAAAAACTTCTGTAGATCCATGAAAAAGGCACAAAATGTAAATTTAGCAAAAAATAAAGTCTATGGCCCAAAGTGTTAAGTACTACTTAGATAAATGAATAGAGAATATATGATACAGGAAACACATATGGGAGCTACAGGATACAGCTTCTTACCTACTAAACTGATGAAAATTAAGTTGCCTGACAATATGAAGGGTTCAGAAGATGTGGAACAATCAAAACATATACACACTGCTGGAGGGTTATGTGTGAAATTAGTATATATTTGGAAAACAATGCTGCATTGTGTAAAGCAATTCTTCTTTCTAGAGGGGGGGAGAGAAGGGAGGGAGGGAGGAAGAGAAAGATGAAACAGAGATCTGAACGTCAATGACTGCTCTGTGAATCGCTTTAACAGCAGCTACTGTATAATGGTTGACAGAGTCCATCCACACTGAGTAAATCCTCTTGTCAACCCTGGATTTTAGAGGCTAGACAGATGGCTCTTCCAGAAAACCTGAGTTTGGTTCCTGTAACTTCAGCTCTGTGGTATCTGAAACCCTCTTTGACCTCTGCATGCACGCACACATTCATACACATGAATTCAACCAATAAGAATTAAAACCGGGCTGGTCAGTGGTGGCACACGCCATGTCAATCCCAGCACTCAGGAGGCAGAGGCAGGCAGATCTATCTGGTCAACAAAGCAGACGCCAGAAGAGCCAGGGCTGTTACACAGAGAAACCCGACTCAACCCCCCCCCCCCCCACACACACACACAGGAATTAAAATCGAAGTGCATGGAGGCACTTTGGAGATCTTCAGCCCCAGCACCCAGCACCCAGCACTGGAGAGACTAAAGTAGGCTACAAAGTGTCTCAGAAAACAAAACAACAAAACCCAAACCAGTTTTAGGGGGAAAGTGATATACGGGAACTTTTTGTTTAAATTTTCTGTGAACTTAAATCATCTCTAAAGATGTCTAGTAATATAAAACATGCAGTTTAGGAACAATTTGATTAATAATAAAATATAAAATTATTAAAAATACTTGCTTGTACGTGTTGAGAAAAAGTGGTTATTGCCTAGCAGATAATTCTTACATGTGATTTTTCATAAAACTCCACTATCTGTGGAGTTCATACTCCACAGATAGTGAAAAATACAAAACTGACTTTTAGAGGTATGAGAAAGGCAATACATTATCTAGACAGATAATCATTTTACTAAGACTTATCAACCACTTTTAAAGTCTTAGGACTAAAACAATTCTTTCTCTCTCTCTTTTTTTTTTTTTTTTTTTTTTTTTTTTGAGAGATGGGCCATCTCTCAAACTGGAGATGGGCCATCAGCACACAGACTCTAACTAGCTGTGCTGGAAAACACTTTTGACTCCAAGCCTTAAAATACCCTGTGGAGTGTGCGCTCACCTCCTTCATACAGTCAAGGAGCTCCGTGGACACTGAACTTCTCCAGGGAACAGTTCTCCCCTGGAGCGGAACATCACTGGGGAGTGCAGGGCTGGGCCGGCCTTGCAGCGCTGCTCCGTGGGAGGAGCTACTTCACCTTCTCATCGGTTTCAGCAAGGATTTGGATGTTTTGTCCAGCTTCCCCCAAACTCCCCTAAGGTCTCGTGTTCAACTGTTAGAGCTTGGTTTTGACAGCTCCCTGTCTGAAGTTGCTTATTGGCTGTTGTTTGCCTAGGTCCCGAGGCTGTGAGCAGAGGGCAGCCTCGGATGAGAAGGTGGGAGTTAAGTACACATTTATTTTTACTGTGACTTGTTCAGGACCACATTTTACAAAATGCTTTGTTTCCTTTACTATTGTTTTGGAAAGGAAAGTTTATTAAAATTGTTTTAGTTTGAATATAGAATAGTTTTATTAATTACGGCTTTATTGTGGAAAACTCTTGAGTTTTGATTCAAATGTTTGCCAATACCTTCCAAAGTAAGGAAGACAGCTGTTGAGATGGATGGCTGACGGACATTTCTGGGGTACTCACATTTGAAGATTCCTTATTAATGAATGTCTTTGATTTAAATCTAAGCAAAAACTGCAACATTATTCTTTGTACATTTTCATTATAGAGTGTTAACAAACTTAGTTGCAAACAAATAAAATACTTAAGCTATTTGTCTACCTTGAAAAAAAAAGATAAATGCTTCAAGAACATTTGAATCACTCACTTACATTCACTTGTAAAGAACTGGGCTTTTTTAACTTTTGTTTTGTTTTGTTTTTTCAGACAGGGTTTCTCTGTGTAGCCCTGGCACTGTAGACCAGCCTGGCTTCAAACTCACAGAAATCCACCTGCCTCTGCTAGGATTAAAGGCGTGTGCCACCACCACCTAGCTCCAATTTAATTTAATAGCTCCTCCCCCCCCCCGCCTCCCCCCCCCCCCCCCCCCCCCCCCCCGCTTTCATCAAAGCCAAGGTCAGACTTGTGCTAGGCAAGAGATACATTCCCATTCAAATTGCTAATTCCACATAACATTATAATATAGAACAGTACCTCCCCACCACCAGTTACCAGGAAGAAGGAATAAGAATATTAGCTTTATCCTTCTTTTGAAATAGTGTCTCACTCAGTAGCCCAGGCTAGCCTCAAAGGTGAGCCTCTTGCCTCAGCTTTTCCAGTGCTGGGATTAAAGGCATAAACTACCACAGTCCATTGGATATACTTTTTAATCTAAGAAAATTTGCATTTTTCATCTGAAAAAAAAAGACTTGTGAAGTTTACATTAACTGGCAGAAATAGCTTTAGCCAAGTGAAATAAAAAGCAATAGTATTTTCTTCTACAATAAACACATGTAAATGAAAATGAGGACACGAGCTGTGCTACAATTCTTTTTTTTTTTTTTTTTTTTTTGAGGAAATGTGACTTCCGATCTTGGACAAGTGGAAATGTAATGAGTTGAATTGTGCTCCCCCATACACCGATATGCTACAATCCTAACCCAAAGCATCCCAGAATGTGACTGTGGGCTGTGGGTGTCCTCCTCAGTTTGGATATGGGTCTTTAAATCGATAAAGATGGTAAAATGTGGTCACTTGGTGGTCCCTCATCCAATCTTAGCTGTGTACTCATAGGAAGAGATTAGAATACAGAAAACATAGACTGTGAGGTGATTTTGTGAGGACTTGGTGAAAAAGTGCCTGTCCACACAAAGAAGTCTCAGACGAGGTGAAGCCTGCTGACACCTAGTCCGTGGATTTTTGCCCCCAGAACTGAGAGACCCGTTTCTCTTGTTAGAGGCACCAGTTTGGCGGAATGTTGCTATGGCAGCCTTAGGACTACTAAAGGAGGCAACAGTGAGAGCTAATGGCATATCTCGGATTAGGCTCATTTTGAGGTTTTGTCCAGTTTTTGTTTTGTTTTCCCACAGCAAGTCTGGCTGAGGTGCCCATGGACTACACCCCGTCCTCTCCAACACTCATTCCCACCAAATCTCCAGCAAACGCATGCAACACCATTTTAGCAGTATCTTTTTGCTTCCCTGAGGGTTTCTGGGAGTTCTAGGCAATTCTAGTCTCTCTCCATCCCTGGGATCTCTGCACCCTCGCGGAATCCACTGATCTATTTCTTAACTTGGGGATCTGCCTTTACTTTTGGTTTGTTTTAGACAGTCTCACTCTGTAGCCCAGGGTTGCCTTGCACTCACAGCAATCCTCCTGCCTCAACCTTCCAAGTGTCTGCGGTTACTGGTGTGAACCTTCACGCCCAGCAGCCTTTCTTTTTGGCGAGGTGAGAGGGACGACCTGTAGGGAGACTGGGTCCTTCGGTCCCCTCGGAACGGAACCGGCAGGGGTGGGCTCGGCAGCGCCCAGGGCATCCCGCCAAACGCCCCTCGGCTCGCGCTTCCCTGTCCTCCCGGGCCGATGTCGGGCCTGCGACGGCCTTTTCCCGGTTCTGCCTTCACGAGAGCACTTGTGGGAGCGCCGCGGCTTCTTTGACTGTCCTCGCGGAGGTCGGCCCGCGGAGGCTGCCACGCACTTACCCGAGTCGGCGGAGGGGGGCGAGCCTGGGCGGTGGACTACCCAGCCGCGCGGGGACCGGAAGGAGCCCCGAACGCGCTTCCGGCAGCTGGTGTGGACACGGAGAAGGGGTCCCAGCTCATTGAAAGGGGTATAGGCTTGGGTGTGGGAAATAGGACCCGCCCAGTGCAGTAGCTTCAAGCTGCACACTGGGGGGATAAGGAGAGTATAATTGAGGAAAATTATTTGGAATCAGTTCCATTCTAGTGTTAAAAAGGAGAGCTGTCTGTTTCCGCCCGGTTTCGAACCGGGGACCTTTCGCGTGTGAGGCGAACGTGATAACCACTACACTACGGAAACCGGGTGGGTGACGGGTCTCGCCTTGAGGAGTTCTCTCGGTGTGATTCGCCTCTGAGGCTGAGTCTGATGACGATTTGTGAAGGTGTCCCGCGTGTTTAAATCCGAGAAACCTGGAGAAACACAAAGATCGCGTCTCGTAACCCGGACCTGAAACCAAATTCTATTCTACGAACGACTGAATAGGAAAGAATTAAACAGAAGCTTCAATAATCTCTCCAAATTACCCTTGTTATTAAAATTAACTGCTCTGAACAGATTTTAATGGCTTAAGAGGTTGCTTAAAAATCATCCTACAGCCAAAATGGACTAGCGAGGCAGCCCGGCCAGGAGATCACCGCATGGTCGGACGCGGAATTTGGTCTACAAAGAAACGATGAGCTGTAAGGGAGGGGGCTTGCTGCGAATTCCAACAGACTGGGTTACAGGGTGAAAAAAACTCCAAAAGAAAAACAATGAAAAATGATGACCTCAGTGTGGTCTTGTTTCTTATTTTGCTTTGTTACAGACAACCCCAGACGTGTATGGATTTTCTTCATTAAATTTCCGAGAGGCCAAGAAAAAACTCAGCGCATTCCGAGCCAGCCAGGAGTCGAACCTGGAATCTTCTGATCCGTAGTCAGACGCGTTATCCATTGCGCCACTGGCCCCGCACACGTAAGTTCTTGGGTGGGGCAGAGAACTAGTTACGATGTTCTCCATGCTTACCATTGCCCTGCCCTCCTGGTTTAGGTTTAGTTTAGGAAAGATCATTATCTTTACTCCCTCCTAGGTTTGTTTCTGCCCCACCTACTCATCCCACCCTCCTACCCCCAGAAAAAAGGTAGTGAGAGGTGTCCCCATGTCGCTTTTCTATTCACACTCGCATTCATTCAACCAACACTGCTGGATGCACAGGAGATAAAATAGCGAAGAAAACGGATCCTCCCGTGCCCTCTAAAAAATAACACGACAGTTCTGACACAGACAGTAAAGCTCTAAATAAAACTGTGATGGATATGGAGGAGAAAAAATACAAGGGAGGAAAATGGAACATGTCACAGTGTGCCCTGATGCCCCCGACCCCAAATATTTACCAAATTATGGAGTCAAGAACTGTTTCAAATGCAGGTGCCCAGGACGTTTCGCCAGAGAGTGCCCTGGCACCCAAGGTGAAGGATCCTCTTTTAATAATAATCTAAACAATCCACCCCCAGGGCTCTGCCCTTGATGCAAAAGGGGGCGACATTGGGCCAAGGACTGCCGCTCCAAAACTGATATGAATGGCCAGCCACTGTCTGCGGTCTCGGGAAACGGGATGCGGGCCCCGTTTCGGGGCCCCACCCATCCGTCACAACCCCGTGTAACCCCCAACAACCCCTTCAGCAACAATCGGGAACACGGGACCCCGCTGCCCCAGACAGCCTTGGCTCAGCTTCCTCAGGCCTATCCCGAGCCACACCAGGAAGCGCAGGATTGGACCTCTGTTCCCCCACCACCCCGTAACCCCGGAAGAGGGCACGGTGATTACAGAAACCGGGGTCCTTGGCCCTCCCCCGCCTGGTATGTTCTTCCTAATTATAGGCCGAGCCTCCAGCTCACTACAAGGGCTCTCCATTGTTCCCTCCATAGTAGATGCTGATTATCAAAGAGAAATACAATGCCTGGCCATGGCCTCTCTGGGTCCTATCACCATCCCCGCAGGCCACCGCATCGCACAGGCCCTTCCTCTCCCGATGGTTGGACGATTTCCCCATAAGGGTCCAACTCGTGGTCACTCAACACCAGGATCTTCAGATATATTTTGGATACAACAATTAACGGAGGGCCGGCCTATACTCAACCTCTCCTTGGAGGGGAAACAATTTTCGGGTATCCTTGATACGGGCGCTGATGCCACCATTATAGCAAAAAAAATACTGGTCTGATTCATGGCCACTGGAACCCACTGCCACACATTTAAAGGGAATAGGCCAAATCCAAAATACGCTACAAAGCTCTAAATTCTTAAAATGGAAAGACCCCCGAGGGAAATACTGGAACAGTAAGGCCCTTCATAGTTGAGGGGTTGCCGACCAACCTGTGGGGAAGAGACATTTTGACACAGATGGGGGTCATTATGATGAGTCCCAATGATAAAGTGACCCAAATGATGCTAAAGACAGGCTTTCTGCCTGGTAAAGGGTTGGGGAAGTTTGAACAAGGATGAACTCAGCCCATCATGCCCACCCCTAAGCTGGATAAAAGGGGACTGGGGACAGACCTTTTTTCCTAAGGACCACTGTTCCTCCTGCACACCAAGCCGATAAAATAAGTTGGAAGTCAGACGACCCGGTTTGGATAGACCAGTGGTCCATGCCTCAGGAAAAGGTACGGGCTGCCCTTCAGTTGGTGCAGGAACAATTAGAACAAGGGCATCTTGAACCTTCCACATCTCCATGGAACACTCCTATTTTTGTGATAAAGAAAAAGACTGGAAAATGGAGGTTATTGCAGGATCTTAGGGAAGTAAACAAAACCATGGTCCCCATGGGAGCATTACAGCCCGAGTTGCCATCTCCTGTGGCCATCCCCCCAAAATATTTTAAGATAGTCATAGATATCAAAGATTGTTTTTTCTCTCTCCCCCTGCATCCTCTGGATTGCAAACGCTTTGCCTTTTCTGTACCTGTTGTGAATCATGTTGGGCCTAACCCTCGATTTCAATGGAAAGTATTGCCCCAAGGAATGGCCAATTCCCCTACGCTGTGTCAAAAGTATGTCTATCGATCCAGTGAGGGTCCAGTACCCCGAAGTTTACATTATACATTATACATTATATGGATGATTTGTTAATAGCAGGGAAATCTGAAGAAAAAAACGCAAAATGTAGCTCAAAAGATAATTACCGTTCTTCAGGACCGAGGATTTCATATAGCTCCAGAGAAGATACAAACCCAATACCCCTTCCTGTTTTTAGGGTTTGAGTTACACCCGGACCTCCTCTATACACAGAAAATCCAGATTAGAAAAGATACACTTCGTTGTCTCAATGATTTTCAAAAGCTTTTAGGGGATATCAATTGGCTGCGACCCTATTTAAAAATAACCAAGGGAGAGGTACACCCCCTCGAAGATATCCTCAAAGGAGATTCCGACCCTCAGTCCCCTAGATACCTTACGGTGGAAGCAGAGAGGGTATTACAAAAGGTTGAAAGGGCCATCACTCAACAACACACGGGATATTTTGACCCGACCCTCCCATTGTATTTGATCATTTTTTCTACAGATTTTGCCCCTACAGGCCTGCTTTGGCAAGAACCGTACCCTTACTGTGGGTACATCTTCCTGTTACTAAAAGAAAAATCCTTCCCACCTACCCTTTCCTGGTTTGCCAATTGATAATGTTAGGAATAAAAGCCTCCACTCGATACTTTGGGCATGACCCTGATATTATTGTTATGCCATATGATAAAGAGCAAGTTGAATGGTTATGCACCCGTAGTCCTGACTGGGCCATCCTTGTCTGCACCTATGAAGGAAAACTTGACACACAGATGCCCAGTAACAAACTCCTACAATTCTTCTCCCTTACTTCCTTTGTTTTTCTTAAAAATACCCGAATGGAGCCCATCCCGGACTCCCCTGTGCTTTTCATAGATGGGTCAAGTAATGGTAAAGTTGCTTATGTCCTCAATGGCCAAAAGAACGTTATGACAACCCCTTTCAAGTCAGCTCAGCTGGTGGAGCTATATGCTGCCCTCGCTGTCTTTAAAATTTTTAAAGATCGCTCCTTTAATTTGTATTCAGACAGTGGATATGTGATAGGGGCTTTACAGGCTTTGAAAATGGTCCCAATAATTCAACCCATTGCTACCACCTTCCAAATGTTTTCTGAATTACAAAAATTAATCCGACAGAGGTCGCTACCCTTTTATGTTGGCCATATTCGTGCCCACACAGGCCTACCTGGACCCCTAGCTCAGGGAAATGAACTTGCCGATTCTGCTACACGTTCTATCTTGATTTCTCACTTGGAACATGATCAGGTAGCAGCCGCTCGTGAGGCGCGCCGCCTTCATCACCTCAATGCTCAAACTTTGAGACTAAGTTTCTCAATCACTAGAGAACAGGCTAGGGAAATTGTAAAAAGCTGTAAAAATTGCCTGATGCTCTTACCCGAACCTCCTTATGGAGGTTTATGGAGTAAACCCCAGAGGGCTTATACCTGGACAAATATGGCAGATGGATGTCACCCATGTTCCTTCTTTTGGCAAATTAAAGTTCATACATGTTACTGTAGATACCTTCAGTGGATTTATTTGTGCCTCTGCTCATAGTGGAGAAGCCACCAAAGATGTTATCAATCATATGTTACATGTCTTCACAGTGCTGGGTCAGCCGAAATGTATTAAAACTGATAAGTCAGGGATATACTAGTAGCAAATTTAGACAATTTTGTTTACAATTAGGAATTAAACACATCACTGGAATATCCTATAACCCTCAAGGCCAGGGTAACGTGGAGAGAGCTCACCAATCTTTAAAAAATACTCTTAATAAACTCAGCTCAGAAGAGACACTATTTCCCCTTAAGGGAAACCACAAAGCTCTGCTTTCTCACGCCCTATTTGTATTAAATTTTCTGACATTGGATGTTTTCGGAAAATCTGCGGCTGAGCGACACTGGCACCCAGAAACCAAACAAGGATATGCGCAGGCCCTTTGGAAAGATCCAATAACCAGAAAATGGGGCGGCCCTGATCCAGTTATAATCTGGGGAAAGGGGTCTGCATGTATCTATGACTCCAAGGAAAATGGGGCTCGTTGGCTACCAGAAAGACTGATTAGGCCTTACTCTACACAGATTGCCTCCCTAGACTAAGGGAAAAATAACTGTTATGTCCAGGATACAACCCTGAGACAAAAATTCTCTCTTTTTCTTTCAGAAGTGCCTCCGGCTTTGAAAATAAAGGGAGCCATGGACATCTCATTGGCAGGACCTGTTCGTCGCGGGCCTCGGGAGACCAACTCCTGCTTCATCGTTTGCTTACTACTCTTCCCCTTTCCCCTCTCCTGCATTTCCGAGGAAAGCCCCCATGCCATTAAAAAGCTTACCTGGCGAGTTTTCACAGAAACGGGGGAGGAGGTCTGGAGGGTTACTGCAAACCACGCTCCTTATTCCTGGTGGCCATCACTCACTCCCGACTTCTGTCAGCTGGCTGCAGGATTGGATTCTTGGGATATACCTACTATCGACCAACACCAGTTAAATGGTATGGGAGGTCAAACAATTCCAAACTGCCATCAATTTCCTCGCAGTCCTAAAACCACTTGGTCAAGCCCTTGTGGGACATTCCATGATAATAACCCTGCCGTGATGACCGCCCCAGGCTGTGTTAGTCCTACAGCTCGTTGTAGGTTAGCACAATCTGACTTTTATGTCTGTCCTAAGGATGGCAGAAGCTGAGTCACGGCTACCAGATGTGGGGGATTCGAGACCTTCTTTTGTGCTCAATGGGGTTTTGAAACCACAGGGGCAGCTTACTGGAAACCAACCTCATCTTGGGACCTTATTTCAGTTACAAGGGGATACAGTAAGCCTAGCACGAATAGACATTTTTGCTTTAGCTCCCATACTTGGAAAGCCCATAATCACGGGCTGCCATTACCTTTAAACATAACCTTCACTCCTCAGGGTAGGGCGAATCGGGAATGGCCCTCGGGAAAAACATGGGGACTCCGCTGGTATCTCGATGGCACAGATAAAGGAGTCATTTTCAAGATCTTGCTAACAATAGAAAACCTGTACCCAAAGTCAGTAGGGCCCAACTTAGTTCTTTTTGACCAAAAGGTTCCCTCCCATCACGAAAAGGTGCCATCACCTCCTCCTCCTCCCCCCCTCACCTCATCCTTGTCCCTTTCCCAACCATACAAGCACCGTGACTACCATCGTAGACTCCAGTAACAGCACTCTCCTTACTCCTTTTGGGGGAACAGGAGATAGATTGTTGAATTTGGTCCAGGGAGCTTATCTGGCCCTAAATGCCACAGATCCAAACCAAACCTTGGGTTGCTGGCTCTGCCTTACCTCCAGTCCCCCTTATTATGAAGGAATCGCCTTTCAGTCTACTGCCAATAACCTCACTTCCCCAGCAATAGGTGTCAGACTAAGCCACATAAGCTAACACTCCCTGAGGTCTCCGGACGAGGTTCCCGTTTGGGCAAGATTCCATCGACCCATAGCCACCTCTGAAAACAAACGTTGACACCCTATAAAGGGAGCTATTATCTTGAAGCACCCAACGGGTCCCACTGGGCCTGCAACACAGGATTGACCCCTTGCATATCTGCTCAGATATTTAATGATTCCCATGAATTTTGTGTGATGGTCCAGTTATGGCCTCATGTCACTTATCATCAAGAGAGCTCAGTGATGGGATTCTTCGAGCAGAGAGGCAGATACACTCGAGAACCTGTGTCTATGACAATTGCCCTCTTGTTAGGTATTGGGGGCATCGCTACAGGAATTGGTACAGGAACTACTGCCTTCATGCAGAGCAACCACCTTATGCAGTTACAAATGGCTATGACTACTGACCTAGAGACCATAGAAAGATCCATTTCTGCTCTGGAGAAGTCTTTAACCTCGCTCTCTGAGGTTGTGTTACAAAACAGAAGAGGTCTGGATTTACATATTTAAAGGAAGGGGGATTATGTGCAGCCTTGAAGGAAGAATGCTGCTTTTATGCCAATCACACTGGGGTAGTCAGAGAATCAATGGATAAACTAAGAGAAAAATTGGCACAAAGAAAACGTGATTTTAAGAAAACATGATTTTGAAAATCAAAACAATTGGTTTGAGGGCTGGCTAAAGGGATCCCCTTGGCTTTCTACTCTGATCTCCACCCTCTTGGCCCCCTTGATCATTTTCCTTCTCCTCCTCACCTTTGGTCCTTGGGCTTTTCAACGACTAACACAATTCATCAAAAATCAGATCGATTCGGCCCTATCAAAAACCATTTCAGTACACTACCATCAGATAGAAACTCGAGATCAAACTATCGAAACAGGTGAAAGGCTCAGGTTTAGCATCCTACGAACCTAAAACCCCTTACAACTAAAAGCTAGATGGTACTCAATGACGGGAATAGTATGGGGCCTGTGCTGGGAGCACAACGTACAGAGGTCGCCAGAGACCGGCTCAACATGGCACGTTGCCAGACACAGGACGCACCCCATACAGCCTAAGACAAGGGCCCTCTGGATTAATGACCAAAACCTGCTTTGGCCATTTTATAGAAAGAAGGGGGAATTGTCGGGAGCCAAGTAGCCTAACTGATTCTCATGGGAAAAAGCTGTTTACCTAATCTTCTGTTAACAGTTTCAATAGCAACCGTTTCTCAACAAAAATGCAGTATGTACTTTTAGATTAACTTCCTGGAACATGATGGTCTGTTGCTCAAGCCCTGGAACAAAGAGACCTTACCCTAACCCCCACCCTATCCTAACTTCCTCCTAGTGATTTTGCATGCCCCTATCTTCTACTTCTAGCTACCAGCATATATATAAGCCTGCCTCCCCTTGCAATAAACGAGACCTTGACGCGACTCAGACTGACTTTGTCTTTCTTTATGCGCCTGGTCTCCTTTCTCTCTCGCCCCCATTGATCTTTCAGGGGGTGCCTCCTCGGGTCTCACCCAATAACCTGGCCTGCGGGACGGGTCACTCCATCTCAAAATGATGCTATTATATATAAAGGAAAAAAAGATTTTGAAAAGAAACCAATTATGTTGAAGTATGTCACCAACACAAAGTCACAGGAGCACACGGTCACACTTCCAGCATTGAGGAGGTGGAGGTAGGAGGGTCAGGTTTAATTAAGGTCCTCTTTTGATCCTGCCTTAGCAAGCAAGCTTCAAACATTTTTCTATCGGAGACTCTCTCTCCAACCAATCAACCAACGTATATACATTTGTGTGCTTGGATTTTCAGTAATGAAGCAAAGTCCTGTGCCTCCAGGTCCTGTTTAATCCCATCACACACAGGGATGGGTCTAGATCCTGGGGCATCTCTGAAAGCTATCAAGTGTGTCCAGAATAGCTTTAACCCAGAAGGCTGGGTGCTCTGTCCACATGCCCTGTCCTTTTGTTTTTAATCTATAAAAACTCCCTTCATTTTGCAAAATATCAAGGCCTTTCCTGGCTGTCTCAATTTACTGAACCATGTCCACAGCTTTCAATCAGTGACTGTATTAGGCAGAGAAACCAAATGCAGAAGAATACATTGTTAACTGCCTTACATGATTGATAGGATTAAAACTTCTGCAGGTTGTCTGCTGAGTAGCCTGGGCTCTAAGTGAACCCACCATGTCCAGCAACATCAGTGTTTAAATACATAACTGGGCATTGCAGCCTGGCCAAGCTGACGCTGTGATGAACTGGTACCCTCTGTGTCTCAATGGACTGTCCTCTGGTTTTGCTCCAAAGCATAAGAAAAACTGCTGTCTGCCTCTCTTCTTTTCTTCAATGTGAGCAGCATGTGACACAGAGCTCTCTCCTGTCTCCACTCTCAGATGTGAAAGAAACAGAAGCTTATTTCTTCAAGTCCATAGATCACAGAGTTTGTAGTTCATGAATCTTCTAATGAAAATAAGAACCCTAGTACTCACCGACCTTCACTGCCCCCCATCTTTGTCATCCAATGGCTGGCTGTCTTACAGTGTGACAAATCCTTCAACTATCAAGTTTAGAACTGTTGAAATGTTGGATTTAGCATCATCTCTGGGACAATAGGTCTTACGAAACCCAACCAACTGTAACTGCAGGTTTCATTTGTGAAGTTACTTTCACAACGATGACAGCCGTTTGTAAACTGTTTTCTTTTGTTTGAATTACGCTTCAAAGATGGGTTTATTCGAACAGAGAACTGAACAGGTTGGAAGCGGGCACAAATACACAGCTCTGGGGACAATACAGAAAAGTTGCAAATGCTCTTTCCTCGACCTTTTATCAAATCAGACCCTTTAGACAAACATAAGGCTTTCCCCTCCAGAGCTGTTGAACACGGGCCTCTCCTTTATGCCTTTCCAAGAATGGACTGTTGATACGAAGTCTTAAAATTTTAAGACTTGTGTCTGGAATTCTTTTCGTCAATTTTAGAACCAAGAAGGAGGTAGATGAAACCTAAATTTACAGGGCGGGGGGGGGGGGGGGGGGCGGGGGAAGGTGGGGACACTTAAAGAATGATCAAAATCTTAAATTTCAGTTTAACTTACAAATCATAAAATAAAAAAAGCTTGCTTGCTGCATGGACCGTTTGGGGGTTGGGAGCATAAGTGTAACACTAACACACACACACACACACACCACACCACACACACACACACACACACACACACACACACACACACACACACACACGTACGTAATACGTACGTTTTGAGCGCCCCGCCTACTCGCTTTTCCTTAGTGCCTCGGTGATACTTTTATCAGCGTGTTGATGAGCTGCAGAGGTGTTACCCTTCGAGATAGCTTCCTTCTTGCGCATCCAGCCTGCACCCGTACTTCTCTCAACCCACCCGGACCAGGACTCAGTCTTCTCGCAGCTGAGCAGTTTCTTACGTTTTAGACGTGTAGCCGAGACCATTTTTAAGATTTGAGGAACTGCCTGGGCCATCTTCAATAAAAAGCGGGTGAAAACATACAACAAAAGCAAGGTTCATTCCTTTTCTTTGTTGATTTGAAGCCCAGGACGCGTGCTGGCTCCGTGGCTTAGCTGGTTAAAGCGCCTGTCTAGTAAACAGGAGATCCTGGGTTCGAATCCCAGCGGGGCCTTTTTGTGGTTTTTCCGATGTTCGGTGAAACTCTGGTCCGTTTATGTGTAACATCAAAGTCATCTTCATGCACTGCACGCCCTCCACGGAAGTATTTATGCAGATTGGGAAGTGGATTCTAATTTACAAAAAAAAAAAAAAAAAATTTCAATAATAGCAAAAGCTAAGGTTGTTTCTTTAAGGACAAATTTATGCATTTCTTAGTAGTGTCGTCGTGCCCCCAACTCCCC